AAATGTGCTGTCCCCACAGAACCTGTGGACGACTGCAGAATGGGGCTCCCCAGACAGCTTTTAGGGTCAGTTTTTTTTTTTCTTTTCTTTTTAAATATACACGAATGACAGTAGGGTGTATTTTGACATATTGCACATACATGGAATATAATTTATTCTAATTAGGATCCCGTTCTTGTGGTTGTGCATGATGTGGAGTTTCACTGGTTGTGTATTCATGTATGAACATAGGAAAGTTAAGTCTGATTCATCCCACTGTCTTTCCTATTCCCATCCCATCCCTTCTCTTCATTCCCCTTTGTCTAATCCAATGAACTTTTATTCTTCCCTCCCTCCCCCTTATTGTGTGTTAACATATCAGAGAGAACATTAGGCCTTTGGTTTTGGGGGATTGGCTTATTTCACTTAGCAGATAGTCTCCAGTTTCAGCTGCAAATGCCATAATTTCATTTTTCTTTATGGCTTAGTAATATTTAATTATGTGTTTGTGTATGTATGTATATATATGTGTGTGTGTGTGTGTATATATATATATATATATATATATATATATAATCACATTTTTTAAATGCATTCATCTCTTGAAGGGCAACTAGGCTGGTTCCATAGCTTAGCAATTGTGAATTGAGCTGCTATAAACATTGATGTGGCTGTATCACCATAGTATGCTGACTTTAAGACCTTTGGTTATGGGTCAGTGTCTTGATTAAAATCCTGGGAGACATTTGCTTTAACACTGAGCCTTCTAGATCAGCCCACAGTGGAAAGCTGTGGAACTCTGTGGCATAGAGGTAAATTACATGACCCCAGGCATTTGAAATTGATCTTAAGATGCTGGTATCATCTTAACTGCTTTTGTACTATTTTACAAATCATGAAGAGGAAATGAAAGTAAATATAGCAATTGCTATGTTTAAATAGAAAAAATAAAAATACCAACCAAAATTATCTCCCTATTTTTATAGCTTTAAAAATCCCTACAATGATTGCATACCTTCATTGCTTCTAAAAATCAGTTGCTAGTATCTTTCATATAAGGTTATAAATCCTTGACCATCTATCCATAGTTCAATTTAATTGACAATTTTTTAAAATGCCAGCCAAATTGTGTGAAGGAATTATTGTATTACTTTTACAACATAAATACTCTATTTTGCTGAATTTAAGTCACTTTGATATAATTTACTTTAAGTTTTGAAAAAGATGCATGTTATTATAGTATTATCTAAAACTATATAGTACTGAGTTTATATCAAAGTCCAGAAATAACCCTTCTGCTTTCTGCATTCACCTTCTAGAAGCATGGATGTGGCTGTTCTCCCTCGGGAGCCACAGCCAAGGCACTTGTGATGGTGATTACTTCCAAGTCTAGTGCTTTTGTTCTGCCATGATAAGGAATTAGGTAAAGAATTGTCCAGATGTTTATGGTCTGAAATGTTTCTGACATCCATTCACTTGGTGGTTAGTATTGATGCAAAAGTATTTATTGACTGTCTACCAAGAGCAAGGCTCACAGTGAGGATCTGCTGACTGATCCAAGCAATGGTCTTTCTTTTATTATTATTATATTTTCTAATTGTAGTTGGACACAATCCCTTTTTATTTTTATTTATTTATTTGTATGTGGCGCTGAGGATCAAACCCAGGGCCTTGCACATGCTAGGTAAGCGCCCTACCACTGAGCCACAACTCCGGCCCCCAACCAATGGTTTTTTGCAAAGACTGAGAATGTTACTTCAGCGTCCTGCCCAAGGTATTGAACAAACATACCTGCTATGCATCATGTGACCTAAATGGACAGAAAAGGATTGTAAGACTTTATTTTCCTTTGATCAGTCACTAGTAACTTCACCTATAGTCATAGTTCTAAGTTATAAACTTATGTTGGTGAATTGAGAAGTTCACTTCTATTGATCTTTCTAATCACCCTCCAATGACCTATGTGTATGGAGTGTGCACTGAGATAAAGTCAGGAAGGTGTTCAATTTGGTGTCCTTGCTCCACATACCTGCTTTAGGGATGTTGTTTCTCACTACAGAATCAACCAATACCTGCTCCAAACCCAGTGCACAAACACAATTATAACCTGTATCATATCTGTGATAATGTTTTGTTGTTGTTGTTTATAACTTTGCTTTCTTTACATTTTGTGGTCTCACCTGGGCGAAGAGCCAAATCTTTTTATATCCAGCAAGTACCTGGCTCACATTAGACAGTCCAAAATATTGATGAATGTTGACATCCTACCTTCATGCTTGAACTCTCACTGTAGTCTTGTTCTCTTTTATTTTTTTTCAAAACAATTTTTCTCCTGCCTGATCTCATGCTTCTCTTTTTCACCTGTTCCCAGCCTCAATTTCCACTCTTCCCGTGTCTGGGAAACTTCTATACACTTCAGGCCAAAACTGAGCAATTTCTGGAATTCTTCATCTACCCTAGGAGGCCTCCAGAAGATTACTGCCTTTTCTCAGCTCTTAAACTGTTCCCTAATGCTTCTGTAACAGCATTTAGCATACCGTGTTGATTGTTGTCTACCCACTTATACCAGAAGAAACCCCAGGAGTGAAGAGACCATATCTTATTCACTACTGAGTACCCAGTGCATAATAGTCACTCCATAATATTTATCAAATAAAATAATGAATGGGCATGACTGTTGGAGTGCATCTTCTTTATAATTAGACAAATTATTTTATGAATTTAGCACATTTTGAGGGAAATTAGTGAAATTTCCAGTAATTATTTTTATATACTTATTCTTCCCTCCATTCTACCTGAAAACAACTCCCAAGAAAATTCATTCCTACATCCAGTACATCCCTAGGCATTCACTCAAGAGCATGTTCTAGAATAAAGGCCTTCATTCGTTAATGTTGTTGTAACACAATTCCTCAGACTGGGTGACTTATAAACAACAGAAGTTTATTTCTCACAATTCTGAGGCCAGGAAGACTAAGATCAAGGTGCCATCAAATTCAATATCTGGTGAAAGGATGCTTTCTGGTTAAAAAATGATGCTTTCCTCACGTGTTCCCATATGACACATAGAGGAAGGCAGCACTTTGAGGCCTCTTTTAGAAGTGCACTATTTCCACTCGTGAGGGCCCCACCCTCATGACCTACTCACCTCCCAAAGTCTCTGCCTCTGCTACTAGTGCTTAGTGCATTGGTGATCAGGTTTCAATATATGATGTTCGGGGCTACAGAAACATTTAGTCTATAATAGACATTTAGCCCTAAATTATAGCCAAATAAACATATACAAATACCACATCTAAGTCAAAGCTTAAGACTGCATAATAAACCAAAATATAGAGAGAAATTTCTACTGAATGAAGCATCGCCTCTACAAATGACATTTATGCCCACAAAGAACTGTTCATTTAATAGACAATGTGGGGAAATGACTCATTGTTCTGCAGATTGGCTCTGTTAACTCCAAGATGTGCCATTTGCATAGACTAAGACATGAGCATTACCCCAGGATGCAGCACTTGTAGTAAAGCTCTAGCCTGGGTAAGTGACTATGGGAAAAATCCACACTCTTCTTCTGCAGGCTTGGAAATAAACAATTTTATCTTCTGGAGAGAAGGAATGTTTGAAAAGGAAGTTAACCATCAGTCAGCCTTTTCCATCATTTTTATAAAAATTCTTCTCCTTTAAGAAGACTACAGAAAGCCAAGCTCCCAAGGCTGCAGGTCCAATGCACAGAGGAGATGCTAATTGCACTTGTGCTAGTTGATGGATGTATCACAAAGTCTATATTTAGAGCAAAATGCAGAACGTGATGTAATGGCAGTCAGAGTACTCCACTTACTCTGTCACAATAGTCTTTCTTTTTCTTTTCTCTCATACTTAATTTTTAAATGTTCAGAAAGTGTAGTTCAAGATGTTATTTCAGTTAAAGTTTTAGTGAGTAGACTAACCTAATCATGAATTAGAAAATTTGCAGTTTTGTAAGAAAAATATCATACAGACAGGATTTTCAGGCAACCACTTAATAACCATCCCCTGAATATTATAGTCCACATTCTCACTTTATTTAACCTAATGCATAACAGTGTCCAAAAATAAATAAATAAAAAGATGAGGAGGGATATTTTGTCTCTCAACCTTTAAAAAAGATGATGTCAGTGTTTCTTGCCAATGTTCTAAATAACTGGATTGGAAAATTAAATAATTGAATTTTTTGCATCATCTTTTCAAAGAATGAGAGTGAGAGGGAATATCCCTTCCCATCTTTGTACTTTTTTGGATGATTTTGGTACATTAGGTTAAATAAAGTGAGAAACTAGATTATAATAATAATATTCAGGAGATGATTATTAAGTGGTTCTTGAAAATCCTGTCTATATGATATTTTCGTTACAAGACTACAAATTTTCCAATTCATGATTAGGCTAGTTAGTCTATTCACCAAAGCTTTATTTGAAACTTAAAATACTACATATTTGATGATATTAAGGAATTATAACTTATGGGTATGATATTTTCATTACGATTATGACTTTAAAATATCTCATTTTTTAAAGATGCCTCAACTATTTAGGCATAAAGTTATGAGTCTGACATTTTCTTTGAAATAATAAAGGAGGATGCAAAATGAAATAGATATTTATTTAAGCCAACAGATAAAACAAGACTGCCTAGAATAAATCATTGTTAAAGCTGTGTGGCAATTCTCTTGGAATGTTTCATCTTATAATATCAACTTGGAATGTTTAAAATAATTCACCATATAAAGTTTAAACAAGATGGACTTTTTTTTTCCTCCTTAAATAGGATGGACAGTTTAAGCTGAGGCAAAATAAATGTTTTTCATTTTCCTAAACAAAGTAAAATGTTTAGAGTGCCAGTTTATGGGTCTCTCTCTCCCTGGTGTTATGGTAGCTTGTAGCAATTGTTTAGATGTATCTTCTTTGACATTGATTTAATTAACTTCTCTTAACATCTATTCAACTAAATGTATGTGTCTGAGAAGCATTTCATGTTTTTTTTAGGATTGTGGAAAAGGGATATTATAGTGAGCGAGACGCTGCAAATGCCGTCAAACAGATCTTGGAGGCAGTCGCTGTAAGTAAGAAATAACAGCAACCCCGTGCTTGGCTCTTCATCACCTCTTTGTTTTACAGAATCGTCAGTTAAGAAGCACAGACTGTAATAAGCTTCCCCATTTCTTGAGTTTGTTTCCTTCTTGTTTCATCATTTTTTAATTTGGTGTGGAAGTGGAGAAAGGTTAGATGAGATAAATATAGACCCTGGAGCATAAAGATGATTGATTTTTCATCAAGATGAGAAATGACTGAATTAGGAGGGGAAAAAAATGTGGCAATTTTATTTTTTTCCAAGGAAGAAATACAAATTAAAAATTTACACTGGATATGAATTTTACCAAGTTATGATAGAAGCAAATATATACACATTTACATATATGTAATTTTGAGAAGCTTGTTTGGATATCGGGAAATATTTGCCTAGATAAAACAGACTACGCTGGTTAAAACCTTCCCATATGTTTAATGGTGTCTAACACATGCTAGGACACCTTGGTAATTCATTTACTGAGTATGAACCCAAAACATTTTTTTTTTCCTGAACAAAGAGAACAGAGCCCAAGGGAGGATGGATATCATAATCATTTAAAAAGCCAAATATATAAAATATGGCCAGAATCAAAATAGAGGATATTATTCAGAGTTAGTTATCTAACTAAAATTCAAATCAGCCAGTGATACAAGCACATGTCCTATTATACCCACAGCAAAAACCAAGGGAGCAAAGAAAGGAGAAAGGAAATAAGGGAAAGAGAAACAGAGGGTAGGAGGGAGGAGGGGACCAGGGAGGGACCCTGATATCTAACTAGCTTACACACCAATCATGAAAAGAAGAATCAAGTTTCACAACATTTGCATAGAGCCATAGAAATTACCAGTGTATATGTTCTAACCAAATCCATTATTGAACTATCAACATCAGGTTTAACGTACTTTATAGCTCAGTCTTTCCAAATAACACCTTCCTGTAAAAGTATTAGGTCTTTTTGCTATAGTGAGGAATAAAAAAGTTTGAAATAAGAGTAAACAACACCGGAAAGGATGCCACAAATTTTTACATTTGAAGGAACAACACGGCTCCTAAATATATGAGTATCGAATATCAAGTTCATATTCTCACTATGCCACTTCATTCCAAGGTTGTTTTTTTTTTTTTTTTTTTTTTTTTATCACCCTAGTTTCCTAGACTTGCAAACTTGTGAATGATTTCAACTCTTCCATTCCCTTCTCTTCTCCCATTTACCTTTCCAACTTCATTTGAATCTTCCTTCAAACGTCCATAAACCTAATCCTATTCCTCATCATGCTATGAATGTTTCTGGCATAGAATTTAAAAAAAAAAACACTTCTATTTGCTTCCAATTTCTGTTCTTAAATATGTAAGTCTAGAATCATCTCTTGCAATCCCTATTTTTATTTTGTCACTTCTTATTTCAATAGTGGTAGTTCATGTACCTCTTAAATACCCATTTTAAAACTACACTTTTCCCTACTATTATTCACCATAGCTTATCTATTCAAATAAACATATGGCTATGACCCACATCACTTTGTCCAAATCTGGCAGGCAGCCGTTAAGGGTACTTTGAGAGTCAAACAGAACTGAGTTCAATTTATAGACATATGTGCATTGACACATCACTAAATACCTTTGAGCCTCAAATTCCTCTTATAAAATAAGCACAAACATTCAACCTAACAGTGTTGTGGAAAAGATTAATTGAGACAATGTAAGGAAGTCACAGAAATGTTTCAATAAAGAGGGCAAAATAGGTGAAGAATTTTCAGATTCAGAATATTCATTTAAAGATATAACTGATATTGTAAATCTATTCAAATATTCCTATTTCCTAAGTACTAAAATAAATAAAAACAATTGTGTGATAATGTGTTCCATGATCTGGGTGCTGATTGCACAGATAAGTGCAGTTGTGAAAAGTCAATAGGCTTTGTTTACTGTCCTCTCTATATATTATACCAATACAAAGCTTTTTTTAAAAAGTGTGTTGAAAACTTTGTATGAATATAAAGTTATAACAGGTCATCAATGCTCGACTCAACATGCCATGTATGTGTATTTGTAATTTACCTGACCAGTCATGTACTTGAATATGTTTTAAATTTTATCACATACTATTTTTCAGACAGATTATTTTTCTTCCTGGGACAAAAGTGTGTTATGCTCTGATACTACATGAGACAGTGATCAAGGAATGTGATAGGAGAGGGACAGTTGCCCCTCAGGCTGCCACCCTCCTCCCCATATGACATTCTACTGGCAAGATATTTCAGGATGGGGTAATCTTCAGAATAATTGTTCTGAGAGCTTCTAGTGTGCCTGTCAGTGCACCTAACAATAGCACGCAGACAATCAGGTGGGGGTTATTGCAAAGACACAAGTTATGTGAAGAATCCTGGCCAGGCAGCCTGGACAGTAGTCAGGACTCTGTTCTCCCATTACTGTTTGTTTGTTTGTTTGTTTGTTTGTCTCAGTCTCATTATCTGCTTTCCTCTTCTCTCTTCCCCAAATTTCTCTTCTTCTCAGACTCAACAAAGGGACATATGATCAACATAACATTCTTGTGTTAGCATATTACAATAAAAACTCAAAATGGATGTAAATATTACTTAACTCCAAATTTCAAGACAAAAGCTACATTTGGATTAATTCAACTCTATCCAAGCATCCTTCCCTCATCCAACCAATTGTAAACAGGATGGGAATTTTGTAATAAAAGTGGCCAATGGAACCAGCCTGGGATGGGGAAGAAGGGGCTGTTCAAAGGGAAAAGGCTGGTTGTCTAGAGGTTAGGATTCAGTGCTCTCAAAGGGAAAAGGGCAGTTATTTCTTGTGAGTGAGTCTGACACATTAAACATACCTTTTGCTACTATCTCTTCTAGTATTTTTTTGCTGCTACTAATTATTCATGTTCCTCTCCATTCCTGATTTTTCACTGCATTCTAAAATGGTTGGTAATAATACATATCTCTCTGTAATAACACTGCATGTAAATGGTCTCAATTCTTTAATTAGAAGTCAGGCTGGCATTGTGGATTAAAAAACAACATCCAACCATATGTTGTTTGCAAAAGACTCATATTACAAGCAAAGAAATCCACTGGCCAAGAGTGAAAGGATGGAAAGAATATTCCATAGAAATGAAGACCAAAAGTAAGCAGTATAGCTGCTTTCATATCTAACAAAGCAAATTTTGAAGGTCTTTTGAAACAAAGAGGGTCACTTCATGGTGGTAAAGGGAACAATCTAACAAGATGATATAATGAAAATAAATATTTATGCCCTAAGTGTTGGTGCATGTAATTACATAAAACAAATACTATTCAATATGAATACTCAGAAACTCAAGTATAATAATATTGAGTCATTTCAACATACTTCTCTCACCAATAGTTACATTCATCCAAATACAAAATCATTGAAGACTCTTCAGAACTAAATAAATATAAATCACATGATCCTAACAGATATCTATAGAATATTTCACCCAAAGACAGCTGAATTTTCTTACTTCTCTGCTGCCTATGGAAACTTCTCCAAAACATACCATATTTTAGGACACAAATCAACTCTCAATAAATACCAAAAAAATCAATATAATTCCTTGTATCTTATCAAAGCATAATGGGATGAAATTAGAAATTAACAGCAATAAAAAAACATAGAAATTACATACACACATAGAGATTGAATACAGCAGATTTGAACAAAGAAGGGACAATGAAGGTAATTAAAGGAGAAATATAAAAATTCTTAGAATCAAATGAGAGTAGAGATATGCCAGAATCTGTGGGAAAAAATGATGTAATTCTAAGAGAAAAGGTCATAGCTGTTAGTACCTGTGTTAAAAAAATCAACAAATAAACAACCCAACAATACATCTCAAGGTTATAGAAAAACAAGGAAATTATTTCTAAGATCAGTAGAAGAAAGGAAATAATTAAGATAGATGCTAAATTAATGAAATAGAAAATTTAAAAAAATAATACAAAGAATCAATGAAACAAAATTTTAATTATTTGAAAAGATAATAAGATTGATAAACTCTTAGCCAAAATAACCACTAGAGAGAGAAAAAAACCCAAATCAAGAAAAGAGATGAAAAAGGAGATATCACCACAGATATGCCTGAAATCCTAAGATCATTAGGGACTACTTTGACAACTTCTATGCCAATAAAATGAAAGACATAGAAAAAATGGATAGATTTCTGAACACATATGGCCTACAAAATTGATCAGGATGATATAGAAAAACTAAACAGATCAATAATAAGCAATGAGATAGAAGCAATAATAAAAAGCCTTATAACAGTGAAAATCCTGGGACTGCACTGATTCTCCAATGAATTCTACTAGACCTTTAAAGAAGAACTAATGCTGATGCCCCCCAAATTATTGCATGAAATAGAAAGGGAGACACTACCAAATTCATTCTGGGTGCATTTTTGAATAATAGTATGTTGTTTACCATAAAGACACTTGGGGTATTATTTCATTTTGGCGGAAGCCCTAATTATTTATCATGTAAGAACTAACCTTTCTATGGACATCTAAGTCATTCCCCACATTCCCATACTTCCATATTCTTTATAAGTCAAGCTGTTTTACAGTAGATGTATATAATTATTTTCTCATTCACTGATACAAGCGTAGAACTTTTACAAGGTTCTTTCAGTCTCTTTCATCTTGGTGAATGTTGCTATCATGCAACAATTGTTGGCTAAAATTCTAGAATTCACTCTCCATTTGTTTACCTCACATCTCAATAATCTGCAATTCACAACATAAATTTGACCATTTTTTTCCTCATCTTTACTAACCCTTGGTTTTAGTCCCCATCCTCTCCTGTTCATAATGCTGCAAAACCTTCTAATGGTCAACTTACATCCGTTAACTAAAGTCCATTCCCCTTGTATCATTCAGAGTTATTATTTAAATCACAAATCTGCCAAACATGGTGGCACACACCCATAATCCCAGTGGGTCAGGAGGACAAGA